TACAAGTGGATCTTGAGAGAGAGAGAGAAGGGAAAATGGAGAGAGCAGATGTTGGAGGGAGCAGATTTTGGAGTGTGGAGCATGTTCCTCTGAACCAAGGCAGCACTTGAATTATCTGCCCGGGCCGTTCCCAGCTGCGAAGCTCCCCAAGCAAACAAAGCCCCAGAGCCCTGCCAAAGCCTTCAAACTCCAAAGGAGAACTTGTCTTGAATACCCAAGTAGTATGTTTTACAGACCTCTAATGCCCTCAAAATAGCATGCCAGTCCAAGTGGTCATTTTGTCCTTGATTTCTCTTCTGGGGCTCCTGCTTTTCCTACTGATGAAGCATGGTTTGCAGGGACAAATGCTGCATTCATTAGACCAACTTGTATATTTGGCAAAAAACAGCAACTTTTGAGCTTACAGCCCCTTCCTGAAGTCTGAAATGGCAAGCAGCAACCTGAGGACAGGTTGGGGAAAAATTTTGTTCAGTTTTGCCTTGATTACATCAGCAAATTTAGCCACGAAGACATGCATTTGTTAGTTGAAGTCACTTTAATTTCATACATGAGAACAAAATGCAGTTTCAGTGTTCTGTGTTTTTCCATAGCTTTCCATAGCTTACAGTTAGGTGCTGCCATTTTCCTCACATTAAACATGAAAATGTATTTAAATAATTCTGAAAAGGAGGCTTACATGTATTACCATTTAAAATGCGCAAAGGTGGATACCTTTGATACTAATGAAAAGTCACAGGTGATGTCTCTTTCTCATTTTAATTTAATTGATTTGGTTTGATTGATCAGAGGGGCTAGTTTAGACTCAGCAGCTGTGTGTTTTGGTTACTGTAATAGCAGCTTCAAGCAGTCCCAAGCCCTCTGACTAGGCTTCTGTCTATTGGGTGTTGTTTTCTGGGGCCGGTTCAGGGGGTCTCGGGGAGAAGCTTCTTTAAAATGTATTTCTGGTGGAGCATCAAAGGGACTGTGGTCTGTATCTGAGCACCATCTGTTTGAGGTGATCTGATTAATCTTGCTTTATAAATGTAATTGCCTGCTGAGATGGCAGCATCAAAAAAGTGGCCAGATTCAGAGAGTGGTTAAATATTCCCTTTCATTACTTCAAGGTGTCCTTAGTTGTCTGAAAATTAAAAGGACTTGACAGTCCACATTGACTAAGATTTCCTGACCTTTCAACTCTCAGATCTTATCTGTTGCCATTTTGTAGCTGCAAAACAATATGTTCCTGGGATTTCCCATGCTGAGGATTTGGCAGCAAGGGGCTGCCTGCAGCCAACTCTGCACCCTTGGCAGAGGTGCTGCTGGTGGGATCGAGCTCCTAACACTCAGTGGGTGTTTGGGTGCCTAAAGCAGGGGCAGCTGGGCATGGCCAGGGATGGAGGTTTGCCCACCTGCTGTGACCAGGAAACCACACCAGGGTGAATTGTTCTACCCTTCCTGTTACGCTTCCTTCCCTGCAAAATCGATGCCACGTTAGTCAACAGCAGGCATTGAGAGTGCTTGTGCTGCAGTATTGTCAGATGTAGGTTAGGATTTTCAAATCTTCTTAGGAGGGCTAAGACATCCTTTGGGTATTTAACCTGGCCAAAGGATTTGGGTTCAATACCACAGACTTTTTTTGAAGGGCAGGGATGCTGATGAAGTGTGTGGTTAGGGCTCAGTCTCCTGCTCCAGCAGTTTTATGTGTTTGGGAGTATATATTAAGTTTGCATTGAACATAGCTTGAAATTTAAAAAAAAAAAATTAAAAGCCAGTTTGCTTTCTGGTACTGCTGAGAATTTTTCTTTGGGAGGGACATCTGCAATGTCATGGTAGCTGTGTTTGCAATGAGGAGTTGACTGAGGTTATAAACCGAAGATGTCTGTTTGCTGTCAAGTTTTGAATAGCCCATAATCTGTCTCTCTCAAGAGCTGAATAATGAGCCCAGCCCCTACCTTTCTCTTAGTAAGCAGAAAACCTCAATGGACCCAAGCAAATGGTTCAACGGCAGTGAGTTTTGCTCACTGTAAGACTGGATTAATTGAGATCCGTAAGAAGTGCAGAGTCAGCCATAACAATGATGTATTTTGTTCTGGGAGAAGCTAGCTTGTGGCCAATGTTGTGCTTCAAGCTGCCATTGTCACCTCTTGGGGCTGAGTGAAGGTCTGTGTTAAGCTCCTGAACTCGTGTGATGCTACTCTTCTTCTCGTATGGAGGCTTGTCAGTGGCTCTGATAAGCCACTGATCAAAGTTGCCATTGAAGTTTCCCAGCATGATACGAAACCCTGTTTTATGAATTTCAATTTCTCTTCCTGGCCTACCATCATCTTCCCATTCTTGTAGCCTACAGGGTTGTGCTATTTTACTGCTGCAGAAGGATCACAGCAAAACTTTCATTGTATGGACTTTATTTTATTTTTACAGCAGCTTGGGTGAAACTAGCTTCCACAAGAAGGCTGAATACTGGCTGCAAATGAGAACAGATACACAGTTTGATGGGAAGTCTGGTGTTGATTCAGAAGTTAAAGTAGGAGCAGGATCTGTGTAAAGGAATGAGGGTAGCGTAACAAACGAAACAAAAGGTTTGAATGTTTTTTGTGTCTGGGGGTTTTGGTCATTTGTTTTCTAATCCCAAATTGCCTTCTTCCCTCTGCAATAAATGTACCTTGGGTATGAGATGCAGAAGCTGCACAGACCCAGCTGGCTGGCAGCACATTCCATAGACTGTCCCAATGGCCACTTTCTGCCCTCATCTCCGTCTGCAGAGCTGTAATTTTGATTGTTCTCTATTCAGCTACCAATTTTATTAAACTTACAGGAGTAGACTTATTTTTCACGTTTTTCCCCCCTTTCAGAATTGGTGGGAGTTGGCCAACAGTTAGTGATGGGGAAGAATGGGGAGAGAGCACAGTCTGCAGGGTCTTCATGGGTTAATGCTGGAGGATGCTCTCATCAGCCTGGTTTTCTGTTTGGATACACAACCCAGAGACTGAACAAACCCTTAACCTAAAAGTTCCTGTGGTTAGAATCTATTATGACTACATAGGGGTTCATTCTCTTGGGGGGGAGGACATCTTTGCATTAACTGTTCTTTACAGGAAAGTTGTAATCAGAAAATGGGCTTTTCTACGTGCTTTTACATCACCGCTGCTGTTGAACAGCTACAGCTTTGCTCACAGAACTGTTGATGGCAAGAGAAGAAATATGTTCACTCTGCTCTTCAGCTGTGTTGGTTTGGGAAAATTAGGGGTAGCAGAAAACAAAACTGTTGTAATGTGGTGTATTGCTTAGTATTACAGATGTGCAAAATAGGAATAAGCAAGAGGCATGAATTGGAAATTGAATCGCAGAAGGCCTGGTATCTTAGAGTAACTGTAAAGATGTTCCTGCCCCAAAAGAGCTTCTAGAAGTGAAGCAAAAGTTAAGTGAGGTTAAATGGAGTGACTAAGGGCTTGTGGGAGGATGTTGAGTTTTATTAGAAAGAGGACCTTTCAGTTATTCAGATCCCTGTTTGGCTTTAGGGTCGGATTTGGTCTTTCAGAGAGAGGTATTTTTGGAAGTTAGAAGTCACATATAGATCATCCAGTCCCTGCTCCTAGCCAGTACAAGGTTTGTTCCTTTCAGTACATATTTATTTCCTCCAGTCTAATTATACATATCCCCAGTGATTGCTTTTTTATGAATTACCTCTGTAAATGTTCATATTCTAAACCAGTCTCCCTGGATTCTCTGCTTTTAATTTGCTGCAGGGATGAACCCTGAATCCTTACTTGCAGTTCAGGATAAGAGATGTGAGGAAATGGAAAGGAAAAGGATGTTTTGCAAAATGACAGACCGTGTTGGTTTGATGCAGTTTAGTTTAAAATTCAGTGTGTTAGGGTATTTTTCTGTCATGGCTGGATGAAGTTGAAACCTTCATTTCCCCCCCTTACCTTTCTTCCTGGGAGAAAAATTACTTCCTTTGACCAAGCCTTCATTTGGAAAGCTGCCCAAGCTGGGGCTCATCCCTTGTGGGAGCTGAGCCCCGTAGTCACACAGGTGCCGACTTCCACCCTGGAATTTCTGACATCTCTGTCCAGCTGCAGATGTGAGAAAGAAAAAGCAGGTACCAAAGGCAAATCAAGCAAGAGTCAAAAGAAAGGCAGTCTCTTTGGTGTCACTCTCTGCATCCGAGCAGGGGAGAAGATGAAAGGCTCTGTGTACGCTTCAGTAGCCTTCTCTTTTCTTGTTCCAGGTATCTGTTTGCCCCCCGAGGAGCAGAGGCGCAGGGATGCTGTGACTGCTTACTCTTGTTTGTTTATGTTCATTTTCAAGAGACATGTGAGCGGAGCTGCCTGGGCTGCTTACGGCAAAGGAAGTGTTTCTCAGGGGAACAATTAATTTTGCTTGGCTATTTCTAAGCCAGGTGAAACCATAAAATGAACCTGTGTCCTCCCCATTGTCTACAAGGGATGTATTTGTTTATTTTACATTTTAATGCACCACTGACAATTTATGGTATAAGTCTCAATGAATTTTTAATAGAGAATTGATAGAAGAAGGGTATATAACATGGAAGATTAATAGAAAAGGTTATCGGGCTTGAAAAAGAAAAAGGAAGAAAAAGACAGGGAGCTGATATTTTAATTAACTGCTCCCTGCCTGTGTTGTAATCCCAGAGACATGATGATTGAGTGCCAGAAGGTGAATCTGGTTGGAAATAAAGTGATTCCAGTCTTGCATTAGAGGTGAGAAATGAGACAGTGCTTCGGTTTTCTCACGGTTTGAATAATCTGGGTTGCTGTTTGCAACGCAAAGCAGAGTTTGTTGGAATTAAGGCAGTCTGCAGAGCCATGACCCAATGTGTTGGGAGAGTAATTGCAGTAAAAAATAATAACAAATAACATATAGTATATTAAAAAAAAAAAAGTAGAAACAGTAAAAAAAAAAGTTAAATATAATAATAATAGAAAAGTTTGAGTTCCCCCTCCATTAATCCTGCTTCTTTAAGAGATTGGACAGTTTAGATTCAAACAAAGGACCAAATGCATTTGTATCCTGCTGATCGATCTGGCATGGGACCACTGGACCTTTGGGTGGACATGCAGACAGGTATGATGCTTTTTGGTTAGGCCACCACTGATTTGCAAAGAGGAGCTGCACTCAGGGAGCACATTAACACCTTCCAAATGACGCCCTGGGACTGTCAGTAACACTTTTCTCCCCCTTTTGTGAATCTTGGCAATCTATTAATTGTGCTGCCGAAGAGCAGTGTCAGGGGAACAAAGCAATCAGTGCCACCATCTGCTGTGAGCAGGTTGGCCATGTTGAAGGGAATGCCTGTTACGCTCCTTTCTGTGGCTGACCCCCTCGCTCATGCTTGCGTCCACATGTCCTGGAAATAACGGTGATCAGAGTGCTAGACTGATGGAAAAAGGAGAGTATCATTCTGAGGTGGAAAAGTAGTTGTGTTGCTGTCTGGATCTCTAGAAAATGAGTCAAAGGACAGTTTTCCTATGGAAAGCAAGACATCAGGAGATTGAGAGAGCAAGCATGAAACTAAATGTACTTTAAACATTAAGTTTCTTATATCTCCAGTATTATACTAGTCTCTCTTTTCTGGAGGAAGATGTGATTGTTTCATTCGTAGATGCCATAACCTTACCCTAACAGGAGATACTGACATTTTACACAGCTTCACAGTGAGCAGGGGAGTGCTCTGACTTTGCTTATGCACATGTATCCCATTTGTACCTGGACAGAGTTTCTGTCTATTAAATACATCAGATTAATTAAATCAAGCTTACATTCAATAAATCAGAAGTGATGCTCAATAGCCAGTTTCAAAAGTTCTAGTTTTCTAACTGGAGGTGTTCAGGAGAAGGTCTGTTCCCTCTGGTAATGGATGTGCAACATCTTTGGAAGATCAGACTGGATTCTTAGTATTCTTAGGTCTCTTGTAAAACTCTTACTCTATATGGGGTTAGGTTTTTTTCATATATTAGTTCATAATATCTGGTTCGGAATGACTGAAGAGAAAATTGTCCTTTTATTTCAGAATCTGGCTCATCTAGCAACAGAAGGGGAGGAAATGTATGTTCTCATTATAAAGTGCATCCTGAGAATTGTGCAGCTGCTTAGTGATGCTTTGCAGCACTGGATGCCTGTTCAGGGAAGTGGCATGTTTTGTGTGTTAGAACATGAGTACTTGATATCTGCCATGTAGACCTCTCCAACACCTCACACAGTAACGCTCCTTGTTTACTGTGTGGGCATGTGACCAATATTTAACGCGGCTCCCACCCTGACAGCAGCTCATGTAAGAAAAAAAGAAAGGAAAACAAAAAAAATCAAACCTTGGAGGCTTATTTGTTGCGTTTAATGCTTTGGAAATGTTTGCTGGAAGAAATATTGATGTAGCAATGATGTGTGCACATGACTTATATCAAGGAATAGCTATCAAGCTCAAACCTCACCATGAGGGCAGCTAAGCAGTGGAACAGATTGCCCAGGGAGGTTGTGCTGTCTCCATCTTGAGGGGTTTTAAGACCAGACTGGATAAAACCCAGAGTAACCTAGTCTGACCTCAGAGCTGACCCTGTCTTGAGCAGGGGGGTGGACGTGATGACCTCCTGAGGTCCTTTACTACCTGAATTTTCCTGTAATCCTATTAGGTTGTGAGCAGCTTTGCAGAGGGAAGAAACAAATCTTTTCCCTGCCATCGCTTCCTATGTAAATTGATGGCTAACAAAGGCAGATACCAGTTAGCCACAGTGTCTTGCACTTCAAAGGTGATAACAGTGAGACTGAGCCATTGCTCATGACTCTCACGGCACGGCTGTTCGGTCCAATTCCTAGCAGAACAGCCACTAATGTCACTATTGCAAAAGCACTGAGTGACTGGTGATCACATTGACACTGAGGCCAAGGGCCAAAGGGCCACGTATCTACAGATTACTTTTTCTGCTGCGGTGGGAAGATGCTGATTTGTATTACAGGGCACTGGTTGTGCTGCACCACAGGCACAGAGGAATAGACCAATTAATTGCCTGAGTTCATGTCTTGCATCTTTTTCAAGCCTTAGATTAATGCAAGCAAAGTAAAGAATGCAGAGTGGTTGACATTTAAAGACATGATTTTTAGTGTTTGGAGGGGTGCTTTATGGTCATCTACTGTGGTGACAGATGTACTAAAAAGCCATTAATAGATTGCATAGATAAAAACATTATTACTTAAGTTATAGTACTCCAAAGGTGAGACTTGTTTGTCTTACCTGTCTGTAAATCATGCAGTGCACTTTCAGTTCCATGTAGGCAGCAGCTTTTTGTAGTAAAAGCCAAAGAAAATTAATTTTAAAAAGAACATCGATGGGTTTTGAATGTCTGGAAAAAGACATAAAAGGTTGAATCCATGTTAAATAATGGAGGGGTAGGAGTTCTAGTGAGAAGAAACACCATCTTTGATACCTGTTTGACTCTATCATGAAGAAGCAATGTTGAATGTAAAATGAATCCTCTTGATACAGGGCAATCAGTATCATCATCCTTAGTGGGACTGGATGCAATGGAGGTCTTCTGCACTGCTTATATTTATGCCAAGTACTTTTTTTTTTCTTGCAGCAAAGAAAACTTGTGCCGAGTCAGATTTCACTTGTGACAATGGCCACTGCATCCCAGCCAGGTGGAAATGTGATGGTGAAGAAGAATGTCCTGATGGGTCAGATGAATCAGAAGCAGCATGCAGTGAGTAGCATAAAAATAATGGTGTTTCTCAGACAAGTTGTCTCACCAAAGTGTAGAGAAACTGGAGGTGTTATTCCCAGCACTTGCAGGATGATCTGTCAATTTTTGCTTCTGTTAGAGCAGAAAGTAAAGACGCAAAAGATTCAGGTCATTCCAATCAGCTGGTTTCCAAACTTTCAAATGTACTATTTTCCAGACTATGATACAGGCATCACTATCTAGTGTGTTTTTCTGTCTGTAACAGAATTGAAAACATCTCTAGCTCTATAACAGCTTGTCTGGTTGTAGAGCTCATGATCAGCAGCCATGCACGAAGATTCACAGTCACCTGGGATCAGGCCTTTTGGAAACTCAGATTTGCAGCATTTTGCATGGTAGCATATTGGGGTTTATCATCGCTGCAGACAGCACTTTTGTCATTGCAAAGGAACTTTGCGATGTTAGTATTGCTCAATTTTTTATTATTTTTTTGCCTTCAAGAACAAATGAAGAAAGAGGTAGCAGATGAAAGATAAGCAATGTAAAATAACTAAAGCTGAGAGTAAGCATGACATGTTAACTGCAGGTAACACCTTTTAAAAACCCATTGATTCAGTAAGTAAAAGGACATGCTTGACTCTCATGTAGCGCATTTTATCTTGTTCTTTTGACTCTCTAAGGAGGTCCACTTGTGCTCCATTGTTTTGGAACTGTGAAGGGGTTGTCTGATGTTGAGTTGCAGGGAATGCCAGGGATATTTTAATGAAAATGCTAATATGTAGACTTCTATTTGTGTGCTTACTTATGTCTGCAGATTTGTTCTTGGGCAGACCAAGAAACTAACACAAGCCATTTTATTGAATTTCCAGTCATGTACTTCACAAATACATTCCCATGAGTCAGAAGGAGTGTTGGAGGAAGTATTTTATCGATTTCACAAAAAATGGTTCACATAGAGGACTTCAAAATTAACCATGCTTTAATTTTTAAACCTAGTACCAGTCCTACTTTCTCCCTAATTAAGAAAGATGAATGCGCTTCTCTTGCATAAAATGAATGGAATTATTTTTGCAGCCATATACCGGCTTCAGAAAAAATTACTTCAGTAACTACATTAACATATTTATGCACTGTATGTGTTGGTCTTTCACTCTGCATCCTCCTTAGTCAAAAGCTATCTTATTAATGCTACTTCCACTACGTGATTGCCTGGAGGGGGGCTGAATAACTAAGCAGCTCCATTCCCTGCAGTCTCTGCCTGTAAATCTCTTGTCAGAGGCCATAGCATGGTCTATGTATAGGCCATGCTAAGATCCCTGATGATTTCTCTTAATCATCTTCCATTCCTTTTCTAGCCATTTCACCCTCTTTTTTTCCCCTACTTATTTGATCCTCTGGGGAAATCAGACTTAAAACTTGAGTATTGCAAAAGAGCTTGACCTGAGCCTCTGGTCGTTACAGTATGGGACTGCTGTCCTGAGAGAAGAGTAATTTGTTCAGGTTTTTTGTTTTTTTGTTTTTGTTTTTTTTTTTTAATTCTTCTCTCTTTCCTGCTTGAAACCATCTAAGAGACTGAAGTCTGCATTTCTGTGGTGGTTCTTCCATTCAGAAAAACAGATGGCCCTTGAAACATCTCCCTGGTCTTAATGGGAGTGGGCCAGTATCACCTCAATATAGGAAGGAGTTTGTTCCCATTCTGTAGTATACATCTAACAGATGAATCTGGAATTCCTAGTGAAAGTAGTAGTACCTGTAAGGACTGATTCTTAATTTGGTTTTGGTTTTATTTTGTGGGGTGTTTTTTTTGTTGGTTGGGTTTTTTTTCTTTTTAATACAAGGGCTTTGAAACCAGCTCAGACTGTGTCATATAACTGTGTCATGTTTGTTTGGGTTTTTTTATAGCTGTCTCGAGCAGATTTACCATGCTTTGCCTTAGCATAAGATATTTAGGTTTTGTTATGAGTTTTGGCCAAGAGAGATCCATTTTTGTGTAGTGGATTCATGAACTTGTGTCTCAGTGTTCACAGGATACTTGATACAAGCTTATGTCTGACTTGTGTCTAGCTCACAAGAGAAGCCAATGTTTCTGTCTGTACAAATCAAAATCTTGCCTTCGAATCTTAAAGATGTCTACAGATAGAATTTTGGAACTTTACTTGTTTTATAGGATTATTCAGATCTGAAGTTCACACTTAATCAGATGAAGATCAAGTAGTTTTAATCTTATGACTGTTGATAGCTATAGGCTTTAATTTGCGTGGTAAGGACTTTCTTTCCAGATGTTTTGTATTCTTGTCAAAGCATGTGTCATCTCAAAGGCTGATCCGATCTGTTCTGTGAGGAAACACAATCAACCTGGTAATGCATAAGCATAGTGCTGGTTGTGGGGTTAATTCACATAAGTTTGCAGGTCTTCCTACCACCACTGGTCAAGACAGCAGTGAGTTATAAACCTGGTGGACTATTAAACAAGAAACTGGAGTGTTAGGCTTTGCTTTTAATTTGTACACTTAATGTAAAAGGCTTAGCTCTTGGTGTGTGTAAATGTTACTTAAGGGCAAAGAAGAGGCTGTAATGACAGAAAGCGAATGTAGTGAGAGGCAAAATGTATAGTTGGTCATTCCTGTATGGTCCCCCTCGCTCCATTCCCATTTTCTTTCTCCGCGATGAAAACAAGGCTGAACACTCTCCCTGTGGCTGAGGAATGACTGTCTCCTTTTCCTGTTTAGAAACACAGCACAGCCCTTTGGAGAAGCCTGCACTGCAAAGTTTCCCTAGGGAAGGGGCAGGTTGGGAAACGGAGATTTCTCACCTCTGGCAATATCAAACTGCTTTATAAAATCAGTTGCTTTCAGACAGGCCACATATTTGCCAGCACCTCTGCCAGAATCTAGGGTTACTCCTTGATTAATACAACACTGGGACATTGTCCATACTCCATTGAAGCTAGGGAGGTTAAGAGCATATATAATAATGCTGATACTTGCATTTTAGGAGTATTTCCAGCTTAGAATGTGATGAAAACAAAGCAGCTCCTCTCAGCATCTAGCCACCTCCTAAATCGCTTTTTATGTTCCAAATGCTTTTATGGTGTGTTTTTAAATACATTTTGTGCTCTGCTCTTGGTAGTTAGGGACGTCACATCCCCATCTCTAATGCTCGCCTTAAAGGTAACAGTTTGTGGTCAGTTTACAGTACTTTGCTTTTTCCCAGATCACTGAAGAAGTTGTTCTGTTTTGTACTTAACAATAACCTCTCTAGGGTTGTTACCCCTTCCCAGGTGTTCAGGTGTGACCTGTCTCCTGTCAGATAGGTAAGGCAGCATCACAGCTGGCCTGACTTCTGTTGGATATGGGATGTCTGGGGCCTTTTCTGGTATTCATGCAATTATTTTTTTAAACTGCATTTTCTTCAAGCCACTGACTGTGACTGGGAGCAGTAGCTGTAAGGATATCTTTTGAGTCCCATCGAATTGTCAACTGATGAGATCTATAGGACTTCTCCCTGTTGTGGTGTTGGTGCTAGTTGAAGGTTGATTAATTTCTAGCATGGGCTGATTTTGGAGAGGATGGTTAGCCAGGCTTTTGGTTTGAAATGGGTCATTATGAATAAGAAACTGCTTATATATCTTCATTTTTCTTCAAGCCAGATCCTTAACCTAAACATGCTCACACATCCGTAGGTTTGTCCAAGTGAATTATTCATGTAACATGTGAGTGTCACCGCTAAACCTCAGTGTTCTGCCATCTGTCAGTTTTTCAGTGCTACTATCTGGCTGCTGAATTTATTTTGTCTCATTTAATTTATATTAAGGTTTCAAAGAAATGCGTCCCCCTTTTCTGTGAGCTGATCTATTCAGGGGCATCTTGTGGACTGGATCTGTTCTCTCTGAAGTCATCAAAAATATTGTCAGTTCGGGGGGGAGGTGTGTTTTATTATTTTTTTTTTTTTGTTTCTGTGTGGAAGCAGAATGAGCCCCTAAATCAAGAGAAGCAAAACTATATGAACTCAGAAACTAGTGATATCCACAAGGAGCAGAAGGGACCAAATTCGCAATTTAAGAAGTTGTCTTGATCGAGGCTGGAGGAGGGAAGAGAGGAAATTCATACTGAAGAGAGTTATTTTGAGAAACATACTTAATAAATAAAGGGGATGGTGGGTGAGACGGAACAAAGAAACACCATTTAGCTGTGCTGCAGTGGTGCTCCTGGTGGGGAAGAGTTAGTACTTGGGCATGCCCACTTCCAGGCTCGTCTTCCTCGACAAAGCCTTTTTAGATTCAGCAATTGCTTCCTCTGTTCAGGAAAGGTTGGCTGCTTGTAAGTAAAGCAAATGAACCACTTTGGCCTTGCAGGATACATGCCAAGAAAATAGCTGGGGGAGAAGCGGGCTGGTCCTCTTTGTTTGCCATCAGCCGTTGCTGCTTCTCCCTGCCTGCCACGAGGGAGAGCCTGGAGAGGGTGCAAAACTGCCATTGCTGGAAGGTGCTCTGAAATGATAACGGATTTCATCTTCATTGTGCCAGCTTGTTAGTATGCAAGGAGCTCTCCACAAATCGTTAAAAGGGATAGCGAAGTATCTGGAAATAGTGGGAGTAGAGTTAGTGCCTCTGTCAGCCCGCCGCCTGTGACTCACACGTACCTCACCAGCAGCTGTTTTGAGATACAGAAAATATTTTTGACCTCAGAGTAGGCTCGAACGCTGAGGATCTTATAATTGTTTGCTGCAAGATTATACAGCAGCGTGCCTCTGCCAACTGCAGGAGATCTTTGGTAGCCTACACGTACTCTCCCATTGGAGAGCCCTCCATGGCCAGAGCCCTGGACTTGTTTTTCATTGCTCTCACTGAAAGCAACCCGGTGTGGTTTAGTGATCAGCAGTCACTGCTGATATACACAGGCTTTGCTTATGCATATGAAAAGATTTCCTCACTATTTTCCTATCCAGTTTCTTGAAGCTGAGAGAGGGGGAAGGGAAGTAATTTTTCTTACTGAGCTAACAGAGACCTCCAGCAAAATGAA